GTGGAAAATAGGGAATTATGAGTCATGCATGGTCAATCCTCCTCCACCGCTTCTTTTGTCTGTATTTGCTAGAAGAAGCTCAAACTTTTTTCTAAGGAAAAGAAAATAGTCTTGAGCCCCACCTTGTGGGTGACCATTGTCTGACTTTGTCTCCCAGTGAGTCTGCAACTGTGAGATGGGACAATTAGTTGGGTCCAGCCCTCAAAGAACTCACGGCTGGTGTCCCCAGAAGGAAACACAACATGCCACCTTCAAAAGATCTCATGTGGCCTCAGCTTTCCGTCTCAAAATTATCTCTCATCAAACGCTTAATCATTTCTTCTAAATATTAGGAAAGCATTGTTTGGGGGTGGTAAGGACATTGATTTCTTTGTTCTTTTTTCATTCACAGCTCTCTTTCAGCTTCCAAGAGAGATCTGAGGCCACTTGAAATAAAAATCATAGATGTCATATGGCTTTTAAGACAAAATAACATGATGACATGGGGAAAGTTTTTATTATAGTTCCTTTTATTTCTGTCGGAGAAGTCACATAAAAAATCAAGAGCTCCTTAAGGTGCGACAAGTTTGCATTTTGCAGAGGACTCGCTCCTTAAAGTTGTTTTCTTCCCTGGCCTGGACATGGCCTGTGTGCTGACATTAGCCCAGGGGAACCTTGGCACTTAGCTTGTCTGGTCCTCAAAACACACACACTCACAAGGGAGACGCTGTCGTTAATTTTGTTTTGAGTGTGAGGAAACGGGAGTTTAAAGAGTTTAAAGAGGAGTTTAAAGTAGCTAGGAAGTAGCAGCAAGAATTCTCATCCAGGTCTGAGGAAAAGGGAGTTTAAAGAGGAGTTTAAAGTAGCTAGGAAGTAGCAGCAAGAATTCTCATCCAGGTCTAATGGTCTCCAGAGTGCAGTGCAGCTAACGATGGTGTTTCAGCAGGGGGTCCCATGCCATGGGACTCACCAAGTTGATCATGAAATCAAGGGAGGGGCGCATGACCCCTTTCCAAGTGAGCAAGATAGAACAGCAATGGATGTGGGTGTGGGTGTCAGTGTGCGTGGCTGTGTAGATCTGGGTGTGTGGGGTGTGCGTGCTGGTGCATGTGGGTGTGGGGAGTATGAGTGTGTGGGGGGAGTGAGTGGGTATGTGTGGGTGTGTGAGGGGAGTGTGGTTGTGTGTGAATGTGTGGATGTGAGGATGTGTAGGTATAAGTCAATTTCTGAGGGGTATGTGGGTGTGAGTGGGTATGTGACAGTCTTGAGAGTAGGTTGTGAGGGGTGTGTGGGTGTGGAGCGTGTTTGGATGTGTGAGGCAGTGTGGGTGTGAGTGGGTATGTGGGGGGTTGTGAGTGTGTGAGGGGTTTTATCTTTAGGTTTTCCCCAACCACTCCACAAAACCCTACTGATTCTCACTCATTCCCGCTCTAAGCACGGGAGTCTGACTCGTTTTTATAAATCCGCCTTCGATAGGAATCTTCACAAGCAAGAAGTCCAGCGGTTTGAAGTCTCTGAGTCAGTGCTCCCATCCTGTCTGAACAGCTCAATAGGCCAGCCCGGTGGGCACCAGGCAGCTGCAAATCTTCCTAAAATAGTCACAGACTTAACTGGTCTTCTGCCTAGTCCCAAGAGTAAAGCTTTCACCCACCCCTGCAGCAACAGCAGAGAAATAATTGTTTGCTTGGTAAGCATAAAATCCAGCGAGTAGATAAGCATCCCAAAGCCATGCTGCAGACTTTCCCCCTTGGCCAGAGAAGGCCCAAAGGGTGCAGCAGCGGCCTCTCAGAGTGTGCACCACCACCCCGGGCACCATCACTCCAGGCTGCCCCCGAAGGGGCCAGATGCTCTACTTTTATGCTCCTTCTGGGCCCTCCAGGGTTATCAGGACTAAACCACTCAAGCTCAGGTCATCCGCTCATCCTCTCCAATGACATCACTAAAAGCTCAAAGTCCATTTGTAACTCAGAAACAGCTTTAGGGCCTCAGCTCCCACTCCTGCCCTTGGACAAATGGCCGCCTTTGTTAATGAGGGCCAGCAGGGTTTACCAACTCTAGGGGGAACTCTTGAGGGGTCTAAGGGGAAGAAGCTTTCCCCAAGGCAGCATTTACTTGGAGGGCTCAGACCTCTTGAGGGCATTTTCCCAAGAACCAGAGTGAAAGTGCCTCACATCCTCAGTCACGGCCTTATCTTTATTCGGAGATAATAATACTAATCGTACCGGGTTGCGGTTAACATTAAATCAAGTAACTAGGAAATGCCCAGCACAAAGTAGATGATGCTGCAGAAAGATGTGTTCCCTATCCTTCTGCTACATTTTTTTGAAAAAAATCTCTAGCCGAGCTTGGTGGCTCAGCCTGTAATCCCGCGATTTGGGAGGCTGAGGTGAGTGGATTGCCTGAGCCCGCGGGTTCAGACCCACCTGGGCAACTTGGCGAGACCCCATCTCTACAATAAATCAAAAAAAAAAAAATTAGCCGGGCGTGGTAGCACATGCCTGTAATTCCGGCTACTTGGAAGGTGAAGGCGGAAGGATTGCCGGAGCCCAGCAGGTCGAGGCTGCAGTGGCTAGGAGAGGCCACTGCACTCCAGTCTGGGCAACAGAGTGAGACTCCAACTCAAAAAAAAAAAAAAGTCTCTGCACCCACCTAGGAAAATTCCTGGTCATGGTGCCACCATCCCTGGCTGCCTTCAGCAAGTCATAATGAACTATGGCCATTTCTCTCTCCTTTTTTTGACTTTAAAGATGTCGGGAACAACTCAGGACTAGGCACAAAAGTGGTCATCGTACAAATCCATTCAAGTTGCTGCAAAGTTCATAATTGTGTCCTTCTTTATGGTTGTATGATGTTGTATCATGTATATGTATCACATTTTTTTTTATCCATGTCAGCACAATTGGTTCCATGTTTTTGCTATTGTGAATGGCGCTGCAATACACATGCGGGTGCAGGTATCTATTCTGCAGAATGATTTGATTTCCTCTGGATATATTCCCAGAAGGGTGATTGCTGAGTCTTATGGAAGGTTGATTTTTAGATCTTAGAAATCGCCACTCTGTTTTCCACAAAGGTTGTACTAGTTTACATTCCCATCAACCGTGTAGAAGTGTCCCTTTTTCCCGCATCCTGTCCAGCATCTGTTGTTTTTTGAGTTATTCACGATGACCATCCTGACTGGAGTTGGTGGTATCTCAGTGTGGTTTTGATTTGCATTTCTGTGATGATTAGTGAGGCTGAGCATTTTTTCATGTCTGTTGGCTGCTCGTATGTCTTCTTTTGAGAAGTGTCTATTCATGTCTTTTGCCCACTTTTTAATAGGACTCTGTTTTTTTCCTTTTGGCATGTTTGAGTTCCTTGTAGATCTTGGATGTTAGGCCTTTGTGAGATATACAACAGTTGGCAAATATTTTTTCCAATTCTATGGGCTGTCTCACCACTCTCTTGATGGTTTTTTTGGTTTGGTTTGGCTTGGTTTTTTTTTGCTTTGCAGAATCTTTTCAGTTTGATGAGGTCTTACTTGTCTATCTTATCTCTTATGGCATGGGCTTTTGGGGTTTTGATCAGGAATTGGTTGTCTAATCCATTTTCCATAGGAATATCTCTTGTATTTCCTAGGATTCTTAAAGCTTGGGGTCTTATATTTAGGTCTTTGATCCATTTGGAGCTGATTTGTGTGTTTGGTGACAGATAGAGGTCTTGTTTCAATCTTCTGCATGTGATCAACCAGTTTTCCCAGAACCATTTACTAAACAGATTCTCCTCTCTGCAGTGGTAGTTGGTGGAGGCTTTGTCAAAGATGAGTTAGTTGAGAAACTGCGATTTTGCTTCCAGAGTCTCTGTCCTGTTCCACTGGTCTATATGCCTGTTCTTGTACCAATACCAGGCTATTTTGATTATTGTAACCTTACAATATAATAACTATAGCTATTTCTGTGTCCACACTTTCTTTAAATCAATTTCTGTGATGTTTCAACTTGAACTCCTTTAAAAAAAAATACATGACCTCCATAATATTACCAGCCAACTTACAACATGTCTCTTTATTTTCAGGAAAGCATTCTCTCTAAATTGAAAGAATGTCTCTTACATCTAAATTTCTAGAATTGTTTTGGTCATCTATCCACAGATATACTTTTGTAAATGTTAATTGCATTTCCTTTCTTTACTCTCTTAGTCAACCCAGCAGTTATTCAACTCTCATTGGTCTTCCCGTATGTTCCCTGCATAAGATTGTCTTAAAGTGGTCCTCATAGTAGACATATGGTCCTTGAAATGCAGGTTCCTAGTTCAATTGATGTCATCATAGCACAATGGTTAAGCGTGGACCTCTGGGGTCAGAGGGACAATTAAAATTCACCCTGTGTCACTTTCCAGATGAACAACTGCAGGCGAGATATTTAACTTCCCTAATCCCAAAACATGAGGGAGAATATCATTCCTACCATAGGTTGGTTGAAGGATTAACTAAGGTAACCACTGTGTAAAGTGTGTGGCACACAGTTAACCCAATAAATATTAGATATCATTGCTTGGTATTGTCTCCCCTTGTTCTAAAGTTGTTCTGGATTTCTCTCTAACTCACACTTAAACTGTCTTTTTGCATATGCATTTTTACTATGTCATCTCAGATCTTTCTTCTAAAAAATTAATAAATCAGTCAGTCTATGTGTTTGACCCTATTAGCTCACGGTTCTACCTTTATTTTTTTCCAAAAGTATATGACTCTGTTTTCATACAAAAGTAGGAAAACACTTTTAAGTTTTTTTTCCACTCTTACCTTGTAGAAGTGAATTCAAAATGAAATTTTTGTCCATTCTTGGTATAGTTGGTGCTAGGTATGATCATGCCCATTTAAAATGTCATCATTCAGAATATTATTCAAAGAAATTGTGGACCAAGAATAATACCAGACTAACTTAACTCACAGGGCTTTTGTGAGAATTAAGTGGGACACAGAATTTGACCCTCTGAACACTTTGTTTCTCTGGCATAAGATTTTGGTCCCCTCTTTTCCATAGATTTTGCACTGACTGATGCTGGTACAGTCACGTCTTTGTGCCACAAAGGATATTTTCCCTGTGGGAATCTTACCAAGTGCTTACCCCGAGCTTTTCACTGCGATGGTGAGGATGACTGTGGGAATGGCGCGGATGAAGAGAACTGTGGTGAGTGTTTTCCCTTCACACCCCATGCATGCCCCGATTTGTGAACTCCTCAAAACTATGGGTCGGTCAGGTAAGGATTGTTATGAACTAGGAGAGCAGATTTCAGTGTTCTTTAGGGACACCTTCTACTAGCCAATTTAAAAATATGTCTTTTATTATTTTCAGGAAAGCACTCTCTAAATCGAAAGAATTTCTCTTTCATCTAAATTTCTAGACCTGTTTTGGTCACCCTTTGTATTGTTTTGAACTCCTTTGTAAAGCAAATAATCACTCCCCAATTTATTTGTGAACGTGACCTGAATTTTCATATAGGCAGGTTACTTAAATCAGCAATACGGTATTATAAAATGTTATATTTTATAAAAATTGAAATTAACCTGGTCTGAAGGTAGTGAGTTATTTCAATTGATTGTTCACAGTCAGTTACAGATCAGTCTTCTTATTTTACTCTTTCCTCCCTTCTCACTACTGCACTTGACTCGTCTTTTTAAAAACAAATTTTTTTTTTTTTTAGCTGGAGTCTCACACTGTCACCTAGGCTGGAGGGCAGTGGTATGCCTCTTGGCCACCGCAGCTTCAACCTACCGGGCTCCGGCGATCCTTCCACCTCAGCCTTCCAAGCAGCCAGAACTACAGGGGTGCACTACCACACCTGGCTAATTTTTTATTTATTGTAGAGATAAGGTCTCGCCAAGTTGCCCGGGTGTGTCACGAGCCCACGGGCTCAGGCAATCCACTCACCTCGACCTCCCAAAATGCTGAAATTACAGGCTGAGCCACCGAGCCCAGCCTAAAAACAAAAAAAAAATTTTTAAGTTGAAATTATGTTAAAATCTACTTGGAGACTCATATTTTAATTTTGTGGGGCTTCCTATGACTCTCTGCTTGTGGCTGGTAATTTGGTTCAGCTGCAAGAATGCTAATTAAGTGTGCGAGAGCCTATCTAGAGAATTAATTGACTGAACAGGACAATACCAAGTGCCCACTTTGTGCCAGGAACTCTCCAAATCACTGGGACACAGTGCACTCAAGAGAGATAAGAGTCTTGACCTTGTGGAGCTCACACCACCAATATGAACTAAGAGGATGACAAACTGTCCGTAAATAAATAAATCTCAAAGTGTGAAAATGAAACAGGATGACGAGATAGAAACTAACTCGAAGGGAGGGAAACTTTAAGGAAATAACCAGAAAAAAAAAACCTTTTCAAGATGATGACATTTTCATTAAGAACAAAATGAAAAAAAAAAAAAGAAACAAAGTATAAAATATCCTAGAGGAATAGAATTCCAGGCAAAGGAGACAACAAATGCAAAAGCCCTGAGGCTGAATGTTGTATTTGAGGGACAGGAAATCCAGTGGCGCTTGAGCTGAGTAAACTAGGATATTAGTAGAGACTGAAGGGTGAGCAGAGGCCAGGTCACATGAGACCTTAAGGGCCAACTTTAGGTCCATGTGTTCAGTCTGTATATTTTGACTAATCTAACCTCTCTCTTTTTCTCTGGGGAAAACAGATGCCAAGGGAGACTGACAGGTCTAGTTAGTCCCAGAATAGACACTAGAATCCTGATCTGAATCTGAAAGCATCTATGAGTTTTCTGCCACACAGAGCTACCTCTCTTGGGCACTGCCCAGCTAGCCATCAAAGTGCAGCAGCAAAGTCCAGGAATGCCAGCCATCAAACTCCAGCATCCACTCTCCCGCCCCTGGGTACTCAGGCATGCTTCCCTCTGATGGAAGCAGCCTCTGCTAACACTTCTTGTGGATCACTCCTACTCAATCCTTAGGGTCCAGTTCCGGTGTCTCCTCCTCCAGGAGGGCTTCCCTGGCCACCCTGAGGCTTTATCCCCAGGGCAGGATGGATACAGTTTCTCTCTGCTACCACAGCATCCTGGGTGTGTCTGTATAACCTCACAAAGTGGGCTGCCTTATCTTTTCACCGTATTTCTCTTCCTAGACAGGAACTCCTTGAGAAGATGCCTGAGTCGTATTTGTGTTGTAGCTGCCAGAGCCCAGAACACTAGAGTACACAGTAGGCACTCAACCAGTGCTTTCTGAACGCCAATGGGCAAGTTACTAAAATTCTCAGCCTTTCTTGTTGGCTGCATGGGAATCAAAGACTATGAGTGCTTATCTGCTCACAAGGGTGTTCTGAGCCCAAATTTTTATAATTATATGAAGGAGCATCGTAGTCAAATCATTGAGGGTATTAATAAGAAAGAGAGATAAATTAAAGATTCCAGGATCAAAGGAGACTGTGGGCAATTATTTACAATTATTTCTCTATTTGTATGAACTGCAATATTATACATTATAATGTGTATCTTATAGTTTTCAATACCATATGGTAAAGTAATAATACTTCAAAATTAGACCTCCTTTTAAAAATAGATGACATCACAAAAAAGAGAAGCAAATTTGGCAAAGAAGTAGATCATATTCACATATGACAAATTGACATATGCAAATTGACATTAACATACGACACATTGAGGCTGGGCATGGTGGCTCACACCTGTGATCCTAGCACTTTGGGAGGCCACGGCAGGAGGATTGCTTGAGTCCAGGAGTTTGAAACCAGCCTTGGCAACATAGCAAGACCTCATCTCTACGAAAAATAAAAAATATGAGCTGGGCCTGTTGGTGCATGCCTGTAGTCCCAACTACTCAGGAGGCTGAGGCAGAAGGATCTCCTGAGCCCAGGAGTTCAAAGCTGTGGCGAGAAGTGATTGTACCAATGCACTCCAGCCTGGGCTGTTATTTCTCTCAACAAGGCTCAAAAGCCTTTATTAAAAATAACTTTGTTTCTGCTTTATTGGTAAAGGTCGTATGATATTAATTTTATCTGACTCAATACATCTATCAAGTATGTATCTACATGTACTTATGCAATAGTGTTCACCTGATAAAAATACAATTCAGATATTTTCTTCTGAGGTTCTCAGAATTAGGGTCAAGGATTTAAAATGTCAGTACTAGAAATAGGCAAGGTTTCTCAAGACATTTATATTTACATAAAATAATTATACTGGGTGCGGTGGCTAAAGCATGTAATCCCAGCACTTTGGGAGGCCAAGGCGAGAGGATTACCTGAGTCCAGGGATTGGGGACCAGCCTGGGCAACATGCAACACCTCATCTCTACAATAAATCAAAGAATTAGCTGGGCGTGGTGGCACATGCCTGTAGTTCCATCTACTTGGAAGGCTGAAGCTGAAGGATGGCCTGAGCCCAGCAGGTTGAGGTTGCGGTGGCCGTGAGCATGCCCCTGCACTCCACCCTGGGCGACAGGTGAGACCCCAACTCAAAAATAAGTAAATAAATAAACAAGCGAACAAATAATAAAACAATTATATATTTGCACCATATGTTTTGTGATTCATACACTTGTTACTGTAAAAGAGGGAAATCCCACAGATGTTTGTCTTGTCTTTTTCCCCTTACTGTGTATGTATTTAAAATATCAGTCATTCTGACTTGCACACACGTTTGTTGCAGCACTATTTTCAGTAGCAAAAACATGGCGCCAACAACATGGAAACTGGATTGGACTTTTTTTTAATGTGGTACATATGCATGATGGAGTATTACACAGCCATAAAGAAGAACAAAACTATGGACTTTGCAGCAACTTGGATGGATTTAGAGTCTATAATGCTCAATGATTTATCACAGAAACAAAGAACTGAGTACCACATGCTCTCACTCATAAGCAGACCCTGAACATTTACCATAATATAATAAGAAAGGGATTGTCAGTAGCTGGAAACTGCCAGGGGAGGCGGAGGGAAGCACACAACATCAATAAGGGCACCTAATCTCAAACCAGGTGAAATAGGAACCAGAGGGAGGTCCAAATGTACCTGTATGATGACCACTTGTATACCTAATCCTGAATTGTACCCCTATCTTTAAAATAAAATAAATTTAAAATAAAATAAAACATCAGTCATTCTATTACTTAAACAAATATTTAATTTCATGATTACATTTTTAGACTTCTGTTTTGTAATATGGTATTTGATTTCTAGAATAACTGACACATGTCAATCACCATTTCACAGGTGACACCAGTGGATGGACGACCATACTTGGCACAGTCCATGGAAATGCTGACATTGTGACCTTAACACATGAGTGCCGTAAGTCATATTGTTTCAAAGACAGCATCAACTTTCTCTGCAAAGAACATGATTTGCGGTCCATGGATTTATGTAGGCCATAGGATCGATTCCCTTCAGAGTTTCAATTTAGGTGCAGTGTGTCTCACTGGCTAACCAGTCTGCTGTCTGCCTGTGGGACTGGAAAGAGAGAAAGAAAAAAAGTAGCAATATCCATTCACACTATTTTTATGTTATTAATCAAAGATGGCACTGATATATAAGAATTGAATAATTATGACAAATAGTAAGACTCTTTTCACCTTAATCACTTTCTTCAAGAAAGTTTTTGAGCCTCAACCACTTTCCAGCCCCCGTATGAGGCACTGAGAACACAAAGATGACTGAAATGTGGTTCCAACCCACAAATACCTTGTAGGTAGCATAAAGACAGCTCTTTGCCAAAGCAGCGACGGTACAATATTAGAACTGTAAGGGAGAAATAATGTTTGCACAAGGGAATGGGAAAACCCAGTGGAAGAATGATGGCTCTACCAGGGATGGAGAAAGAGAAGACTCCTGAGAGGATGACAAATGAGACGGGCTTTGAAGTCCTTGGATGGAGGGAAGGACGGGAGGTTAACGGGATGGGCAGGGGAACAAGATCAGCAAAACACAATAACAGCATCTTTTGCATGAAGTTGGTACCCAATACGAGTGGGCTTTACTACCAAAATCCAGCGAAATTCATTTTAGAAATGCTTTTTTGGATAAAAGCGATCTAAAAGAAATAAGGCAACTGGAAAGAACTTGAATTTACATTAAAATAACTATTAAAATAAAAATTTGAAAATAACTGTCAAGTTCAGTAGAAAAACCAAAGACTTCAGTAATATTTGCTTGGGCTCTCTCTCCTTCCCTCTCTTTCTCCTCCCTCTCTCTCTCTCTCTCTCTCACACACACACACACACACACACACACACACACACACACATTAATCTTGTTTCACCACATGACTTTATGCTATTTAACATTTCCATAGTTTCTAATCATCTGTTAAACGCCTCTGAAATGACTGCTAGAAGCCTCATTAGTCTATATTTGATGAGAGCTTAATTCTTTTTTTTTTTTTTTTTGAGTCGGAATCTCACTCTGACACCCAGACTGGAGGGCAGTGGCCGCTCCGGCCACCGCAGCCTCGACCTGCTGGGTTCTGGCGATCCTTCCACCTCAGCCTTCTGAGTAGCCGGAATTACAGGCATGCGCTACCACGCTCGGCTAACTTTTATTTTATTTTATTGTAGAGATGAGGTCTCGCCTGCCCAGGTCTTGAACCTGCGGGCTCAGGCAATCCACTCACCTCAGCCTCCCAAAGGCGCAGGATTACAGGCTGAGCCACCGAACCCGGCGAGAGCTTAATTCTTATTTGCTTTTATTATGGGTCGGATATGTTCATTCAACAGATACAATTGTATATATTCAATGCAAAGAGAACAATGTCAGTTATTATAGATAAAGTCATGATTAAAGAAATGAATTTTTTAAGCTAGTGAGATCTTATTTTATTTTATTTTACTTTATTTTATTTTATTTTATTTTTGGTCCTCCTAGTTCTAAACCCGTATCCACAACGCTGTGACTGCAAGGAAAGAGAACTGGAATGTTTCGATGCCAACTTAAAGTCTGTGCCAATGATTTCCAGGAATGTGACGTTACTGTGAGTAGAACTTGATGCTTGGTGACAATTGTCCCTAAAGTCACATGCACACCTGATTGGGCTGCTTGTATATTTACAAAATGATAGAAATTCTGTTTAAAACTACCCATCATCAGAGAATTCTGCAGGTTTCCCATCCAGGGAAAAAAATCTTTTAAACGCCGTATGTTAAATTATCCCAGTGATCATTTAGCACACAAACGTCTATGGTCTAGAGTTCTTATTTGCAATTACTTTCTGGCTTATGTATTATTATTAATGTGCCTGTGCTGAAATGTTAAAAAAAAAAAAAAAAAAAAAAGCCAGCACACTCATCTTTCTCAGTTTTAATGTTGGTAATTTATCCAAGAATGGAAAAATATAAAAGCTCTAGGAAATGAACTTTGCCATAGAGAGCAAACTTTCTGTACTGTACGTGAAGTTCTTAAAACACTCAGGAAGTTTTAGTGACGTCATTTGAGTATAATTGAGTTGGTTAGGATCTTTGGTTGTTTTTTGGGTTTGTTTGTTGTGTTTTGTTAACATATCCAGGTTTTTTTTTTTAATGTTAAATCACCATAGACCCTCCAATCTATTATACTAACTGCCTATACTTTGTCTTTGCAAACTACTTTCATCTTGCTTTTCATTTTCCCATTAAAAATTTTTAGTTACTGTCATGTTCAAATGTGTGCCAAGCACCGCAGAACATTCTCAAAAATTCTCTTCCTAAGCATGCAGTTTCTAGGGAAGAGTTTGGTTGCCCATAAAAATCCATAATGAAGTTTGTTTTACATGTTATTTTAGGTCTCTCAAGAAAAACAAAATCCACAGTCTTCCAGATAAAGTTTTCATCAAATACACAAAACTTAAAAAGATGTAAGTAGTCATTAATACTGTATTTATGGGAAAATCCATGTGATGTTTTGTTTGAGATGTTTTTGACCTAAAAATAAAATGGAAAATCCAGTTCATTATCTTTACCATTAAAATTTATGTTTCCACATGTAACTAAGATTAGAAATTATTGCATTTGAAAGTATGTTATCATTCCATATTAGAATTTAAAGTAGCTAAACTGATTTTGTTTAAACTTTTTCAGAGAGGAAACTGAGAGTTGAGATTTTTTTTAAAAACATCGCAGTAGGAAAATACATAGTTGCATGCTTTTCCTCAAGGTTATTTGGAAAAATGACATTGCATGTTCAGAGGCACTAGATGTACTTTTCAACTTGGAAAAAGAGAAACAGCATAGACAAGATTAGATCTTTAAAGGATTTAAACACATTATGATAGGATATAGACTGTCTCCCAGGGTATTAGGAGTAAAAACACAGAAGCAGTGCAATCATTCAGTGATATTAGCATATTTGAGGAAAGGAAATGTCAATATTGTGGTCAGCAGATAAGTGATGGTATTCAGTAAAAAAGAAGAGGTCAGCGTGCTCCCGACACCATCCAAAAAAGTTGAGAAATAAAATCCCAGGAGATGGTCTCTGTTGGAGGACAGAGATGCATCATTAATCTCCACCACGATTGTCATAAACTGCCTCTTAATACTATCTGCATGCCTTTGCTTTGATTCTCTACTCACCAAGCAACCTTGTGATGATGAAGTCCTGACTTTTTCATATTAACGTATTTGAAGCCAGGCTCGATGGCTCAGCCTGTAATCCCGCGCCTTTGGGAGACTGAGGTGAGTGGATTGACTGAGCCCGCGGGTTCGAGACCAGCCTGGACAGCGAGACCTCATCTCTACAATAAATCAAAAAATCAGCCGGGTGTGGTAGCACGTGCCTGTAATTCCGGCTACTCGGAAGGCTGAGGCGGAAGGATCGCCGGAGCCCAGCAGGCGAGGCTGCGGTGGCCGGGAGCGGCTACTGCACTCCAGTCTGGGCGACCGAGTGAGACTCCAACTCAAATAAATAAATAAATAATAAATAAAACATATTTGAAGCGTTGCATTGAATAGGGAATAAGAACATTCCCATCAGCGGCATGGGATACTTTCTATTCAGATTAATAAATCAGAATATGCAGGTACATGTATCAGCCTTTTATAAAGTGGATTAGTGTTGGTCAGTCCCTGTGGCCCAGTCATCCTGGAGCCCCGGAGGGGATACACCTGCCAAGATGACCAGCAAGATAACACTACACTGTACAAGCTGTAAGTCTCCTTGGAAGTGCCATCATCTTATTGTTTGTCTCCTTCAACATACGGCTGAGAGGAGAAAGTTTCTAGAAATGCAAAATTCATCAAAATCCAGAAATAAAATTGATCTGAATCTTGGCTGATACTAGACAAACACAGCTGATTTGAAATGCCATCAAGGATTCCATGCTGCTGAATTCAAGTACAGATTCTCTGAGATCTCTTAAGGAAAACAAAACCCACAGTTTCCCAGATAAAGTATTCATCAAATGCACAAAACTTAAAAAGAGAAAGGACTTTGGCCAGGGGTGGTGACTCACGCCTGTAATCCCAGGACTTTGGGAGGCAGAGGTGGGAGAATTGTCTGAGTCCCAGGGTTCAAGACCAGCCTGGGCAACTTGGTGAGACCTCATCTCTACAATAAATCAAAAAATTAGCTGGGCGTGGTGACACACATCTGTGGTTCCAGCTACTTGGAAGACTGAGGTGGAAGGATCACCTGAGCCCAGCAGGTTGAGGCTATGGTGGCCATGATCATGCCACTGTGCTCCAGACTGGGTGATAGAGTGAGACGCCTACTCAAAAAAAAAAAAAAAAGAAAGGAAGGAAGTCATTGAAGAAAGTCTACAAGGAAGAATCCTGTGTGAACATACGTGCTTAGCTATACTTGGGTTTGATTATCGTTTCTGTAAATTCCAACTACAGTCAGACCTGCTGCTTCAGCCTAAAGCACGTAGTCATGTTTTCATTGTCACACTGGAGTAGCTACTACACATTGGCTCTGCATGTCCAGAATTCTCTAGAGAGGAATTTCTCAGTCCTCACCACACTGCTTCTAGTCTTCCTGGAGATTCTTAAAATCACAACATGTTCGTTCTATGAATCAGTATTGTCCTGAACAATGCTTAAGAGAGGAAAAATAAAATACCACTAGCAGAAAGAATGGGAAAAACATCTTGTTTTAGTGTAGCAGGTAAAAGGCTATCATCTAGAGTCATAGAAGTCTTAAGAATTTCTCATTAAGTCTTCTCATTATACACTAGAAACTAAAGTCTGCAATGGTTAAATGACTCACCTAAGATGTATAACTAGTTAGTGGAAGAGCCAGAATCAGAAATCACATCGTCTGGTGTCCAAGGTAGTCCTTGCTTTACCCTAATGAGAAACCTCAAGATGGACAGAAATTGTTCTAGCATTTTTTCTTTTTGTGAGTCAGTCTCACTCCATCACCCAGGCTAGAGTCCAGTGGCACAATCACGGCTCAACATGGCTTAGGCCATCCTTCCTCCTCAGCCTCCTAAGTGGCTGGAGCTACAGGTGTGTGCCACCACGCTTGGTTAATTTTTTTATTTTTTTGTAGAGATGAGGTCTTGCTGTGCTGCCTAGGCTGGTCTTGAACTCCTGGACTCAAATAGTCCTCCTGTTTCAGCCTCCCAAAGTGCTGGGATTATCGGCATGAGCCACCATGCCCAGCCCCTTCTAACATTTAATTGAATTTCTACTAATACATATTGCCCTGTCCCAGGTAGAATTCCCGTTTACACTTTTGCCCCCTAATCTGGGGGAAGCTGACTTCTGGAGAGGCAGAGGGGTCACTCCAGGATCAAGCAGGAGAGTTAAAAAGAGACTTCCTGGCAGTCTTTTCCTAATCTACTGATCCGTGGCTCTGTCCTATGCAAATGCTTCTCTCTGGTAATAGCTGCTAGCTCACTGAAGGGAAGAATATGGGAGCACTTTGATCATTCAGATCCCAAATTTTCCTAGTAAAAAAAATAGAAATTAACTTTCATTGCCAAGAGCAGTTGACAACTTCTCCAAGTAAATGTTTAATTCTACTTCATCTGAGGAAAATTAGGCACTACATCATGACCTGAATATCACCCAGCAAGGGATCTCTCCATCCTAGCTGCATTTGATGCCTTCTAGGTGGTAGAATTCTCCCAGAAACTAAGAGAAGACAGAGTATGAGACTCTCACCTATAAACATTCACTAAGTGTCTGTCATATCTGAGATAACATAACAGGGGAATAAAAAAACAATTCCTTACATTCACATACCATTTTTTAAAGTTTATACAGATTTCCAATAGTTAGGATTTTCATTTTGGCTTTGGTCCTCAAAGTTTGTGAGGTGGGGCAGACACTATCCCCTCCCTCTCAGGAATGAGGAAAGCCACTCTTGGAGAAGGAAGGTTGTTTGCCCAAAGTCAGCCAGCTGACAAATGTTAAAGCTTGACCTCAGACCCAGATCTTCTGACAACGCTCCTTTGGAAGCTTCTCCGCTGGTCTCATCTTATAATCTTGATACTGTCAGTGAAGCCACACAGAAGCTAAACTTGGATTTGAAAGTAACTCAAGTTCTTTACAATAGCGGTCCCCAACCCCACGACCATGAACTGGCACCACTCCACTGCCTCTAAGGAATCAGATCGCACAGCAGGAGATGAACAGCAGGTGAGCAGGTGAAGCTTCGTCTGTATTTACAGTCGCTCCCTTCACTGGCATGACTGCCTGAGCTCCACCTACTGTCAGATCAGCAGCAGCAGCATTAGATTCTCACAGAAGCATAAATTCCATTGTGAGCTGGGCATGCGAGAGGTCAAGGTGTGCACTCCTTATGAGAATCTAATGCCTGATGATCTGAGGTGGAGCTCAGGTGGGGATGCTAGCACTGGGGAACGGCTGCAAATACAAATTAACTTAGCAGTGAGGTTTGACTGCACATTCCACCATCCTCCCTCAAACCCTCCATCCATGGAAAAACCATCTTCCACAAAACCAGTCCCTGATGCCCAAAAGGTTGGGGACTGCTGCTTTACAAGCACTCTTCAAATACCCTAAAGCGACTCAGAAGCTCAGCAGTTCTTCCTCAAATCTCCATTCTTCTCCATCCCATTGCTCACATTAGTCTGTGGCTTCCTGTGACTCTTTCCCAAAAGCCTCCCCCAACCCTAGTCCCACCTCTTGTCCCTCCTGTCTGTCTACTCTTAACATTCATTTTCTTTCCAATCCTGCATAGAACAGCTCAAATAACCAATGGGGCAAAAACCAAACCATTCCCAGAAAAATGTATCAGGAGAAGGAAGAAACCAGACGGGCCTCTACTACTCTTGGTAGTAGATAGCAGGAGAGCAGAAGGTTCGCAAAACCCATGTTTATTCACTCTTCCGCCAAGTATTTATTGATATTTACAAGGTGCCAGACACCAAGGATACAGCAGTAAACAACATATAAAAAGCCCTCTCCTCATGGAGCTTAATTTTCAATAGAGAAAGATAGTCAATAAATAAAATTTTTAGTATGCAATTTTTTAGCTGGTGATTAGGGCTATAGAGAAAAATAAACCAAGAAAGATGATTAGGAGGTGTTGGGGAAATAGAATTTCAAACAGTCCACTAATAAATTTTGTCCAAACCGGGCTCGGTGGCTCAACCTGTAATCCCGCACCTTTGGGAGGCTGAGGTGAGTGGATTGCCTGAGCCCGCGGGTTCGATACCCGCCTGGGCAGCGAGACCTCATCTCTACAATAAATCAAAAAATTAGCTGGGCATGATAGTGAGCGCCTGTAATTCCGGCTACTTGAAAGGCTGAGGCAGAAGGATCGCCAGAGCCCAGCAGGTCGAGGCTGCAGTGGCCGGGAGCGGCCACTGCACTCCAGTCTGGGTAACAGAGTGAGACTCCAACTCAAAAAATAAAAAAATAACAAATAAATAAATAAATTTTGTCC